CCTTGATGACATATTTATGAGATTCCCCATCTAGTGATGATGCAAATGTGTGGAAGGTTTCATTAAATTATCTTGAGAAAATCAGAAGTTATGGTCTGGACAAGCAAAGATGTTTTAATGTTGATCTTGATTTGTGACTTTGACCTTGGAACTGGAGTGATGACTTATTTATGAGATTCTCCATCTAGTGGTGATGTAGATGTATGTTTAAAGTTTAATTAAATTACCTGGAGTCAATCAGAAGTCTGGTCAAGCAAAGACATTGTTTTAATGTTGACCTTGACAACATATTTATGAGATTCTCCATCTAGTGATGATGCAGATGTGTGTAATGTTTCATTAAATGATCTCGAGAAAATCAGAAGTTATGGTCTGCACAAGCAAATAGATCATTTTTAAGTTTGACCTTGATTTATGACCTTTATCTTGGAGCTGGGGTGATGAAAAGAATATGCTACACTCTGTCTAGTGGTGGAAGAAATTTATAAGTTTTGTTAAATTGTCTTGAGTGGATCAGAAGTTATGGGCAAAAGAAAGTTTACGCACGCACAAAAAGACCTCATCATAATACGTCTCGCCTTCGACGAGCGTATAAAAGTCAGAACCACTCCATTTTTCTGTCCTCGTGTTCCTAAAGTTTAAATTCACTTCGATAAGATACCAGACAAAGTGTTTTTTTAACTCCTACTCCATCTGATTAATTACCAACCAGTTTAGTTCATTTAATTAAACAAACACTGAAACCAGACCTAAATAGTCTCTAACAGGAAGGATCAGACCCATTTTTTCTACTGAAGGCAAAAACATTTCTTTAGCATGAAGGAATAATTTCGTTAATATCAACCAGCAGGCTTTTAGCAACTTGTTCTGCGAACTGTAGCGCTGGTACCTGATCAATATTAATGGCCCAGAAGTGAGACCTCATTATGCTGAAGGTCATGGCAGGATGTGGATTTACAGCGGAGAGGAAGATGAACGAAACTCCTGAACGTTTGTGGCAGAAAAGAAACATTTGTCTAACTGCACGACACCCCCTGAAGGCAACAAGTCACTCCCACTTAGGCGCTTTAAAAAAAAAAAAAGTTTTAAATCCGAGCTGAAAATTTGTTAAATCCTCCCGATGACTTTCAGTTTCCGCAAAGTGAAATCGGTCATTAAAATACAAGAAGAAGAAAAAAGGTGCAGGCAGGTTCTGATTTATGGCTCCAAAGGGACTTTGAAGGCTGCAGATAGAGACCGGATCAGGGCAGGAAGTGAGGCGCATTAAAGATGAGGTGATCAGCTGCTTTTTGGTTTTCATCAGACAAGAAATCTGTTATAATCTGGATGAAAAAGACCGAACGTTTCACTGGATCTATCTCCTGAAAACCCACTCACTACATGGAACTAGAGAAACCGTGAGCTAAAAGCTACGTGTAGAATAATGGTAGGAAAAAAAAGTAAAATTAGAACGACAACTTCTACTCAGTATTTAAAGACGTTTTGCTTCCCGGTAGAGCTGTCATTTCTAACCAAAACCCGGAGCCCAGCCCGGCCTAACCCGACCCGGATTAGGGCCGGGCCATAATAATGTGCTTAAGGTGCGGGCCGGTGTTGGGCTTTTTATTGCGTCAGCAGACGCGCGTGGCTGATGATCCAATTATATGGCAACATGGCTTGCCACAGAATCACCTGCCGCACGCGGCCATTTGACCACGCACTGACCGGCCTTGAAAGAAGTTAAAAAAAAAAAAGTTCAGTCAACGTAAACAATAACATTCATACAAACGGGACATCTTTGTTCTTTCCTTTAGAAGGTGGTGGTGTAATTTTAAAAAGATTCAGCTGAACTCAGCGGACTCGCGGCCGACGACACCAACAGGTGAGATCCCAAAATATCAGACATGTCAGAGCAGGGTCCGTGTCTGAATAATGCAGAATGCAGGGATTTAATGTGCTTTAACAGCCATGAACGGACAAACACCCCATCAGCTCCAACATTTTGCCCCTTTACCTAGCTGTGCGCGTTCATTGACCATTAATAACTATATAAACAGTCAAAGCTTAATTAAAAATGTTGGGGGGGGGTCTGGTTCGGACCTGTAATTACTGTTAATTCATGGGGTCGGGTTCGAAAATGATGGCTACGAGCTGGGGTCGGGTCAGGTCAGATTTTTTTGGGACCGACTGCAACTCTACTTGCCAGGTAGAACCAAAAAACAGCTAAATGATGGCTAAGTGTTTAAAGCAGCAGAGTGGAAGCTAGAAAATAGCATTAGCAAAACAGTAGCTAAAAACAGCTCAATCGCAGACAAAAGTTCAAAGGAGCAGAACAGTAGCTGTAAGCTAGAGAAGTAGCATAAGGTTCACAGAACACAAAAAGTGGCAGAACGCAGGTTGAAATCTAAAAGTAGCAAATAAAACATACAAATACGCAAAATAAAAGCAGACTTCGATAAATAAGCATGAAGGGGGAGTGGTGGTGCAGAGGCTAGAGAAGGTGTGCCTGTGATTAGAAGGTCACTGGTTCAACTCCCCGGACCGACAACATCAAAATGTGGGTGGGAAAAGTGAAGCAAACACATCTGCCTCCACCCTCATTTGCCCCACTCTGGGCCCTTGAGAAAGGCTCTTAACCCCCACCATCTGCTCCCCCAGGCCCCCTAGATAGCAGCTCTCTGCTCCACACAGAGGCTGTGGTAGCTCGGTGGTCTGTGGTTGCATCAGGAAGGGCATCCGGTGTAAAATCAATTATCAAGTCTTCATGCAAGTTAGTTCGTCGTGGCGACCCCTGAAGAAGGAGCAGCCGAAAGAAGGACAAGAAAAAAAGCATGAAAAACACAACATACGTGTTGCTTTGTAACAATCTCGGAGAACTTCATGTTCCATTTACACGGTGTAGAATTGTTCTTCCTAAAAACTGTGACCCGATGAGGCCTCTGTGAAAACCTCAGAGGGGATTTTATTACTACTGTATGAGCTGTGTGCGCCGACTTGACTTGATGCAACCGTCTTACACCCCAGCTACGCCCACGCACAGAGCCGAGCGTCTGATGCAACCCGGGTCGCTGCAGCAGTTTAGCTCGAAGCTCCATCAGTCGAGAGCTTTGAAAGATGAATTTACATCAGGCCACTGCATCAGCCGAGCCTCATTTCTCCTGAATATCTTTCACCTTTTTTTTATTTATTTATATTTTTACTGAGGCGTTCTTGGCAGGGATCATCAACCCAGCATCACTGCAGATGATGTCAGTTTACATGTTTCATCGCAGCTCAATATTTCTCATCGGCTGAATACTGAGCAGCAGCTAAAAGGAACGTTGACTGTGAAGAAAACACGACCCAGTGTCCGAGTCGTGATACATAAATGGGCTTTGGGAATAAAATAAGATCAATGAAGCCCAGTCCGATGGGTCACAGTAAAATCATTGGTTCAGTTTATTTTTTTAATTAAAAAATATAGTGGTATTTAATAAAATAAACATAAAAGTAACACATGTAAGCATTCAAAGGTTTAAAGTCATTCATGAGGGAGTTTCCAAAATGTCTCAAAACATTCACAAGGGTTCTTAATTTCCTCGTGTGAGCCGCAAGGCCCTTGCGGTTGTGTCACAGTAATTATTTTAACAAGTTGAAAAGAGTAGCACAATTAACTTTCTTTTAAAATAGTCACAATAATAGCCTGACTGTCGTTGCTGGCGTCTAACGCCCGTCTTGAACGCATTTCAATTTAGTTTGAGAAACTCTGGGAGGGTTTGTTAACCCATAAAACCAAGTTGTGAGTGGCTGAGGACAAAAGACGAGATTAAATTGAGACATGATGGAGACACAATTAGGACTTTTTGTGAGAAAAATTTGATGAAAAGATTTGCAAGAAAGTCAAGTGTTCTTCAGTGACATACGTTGCAAAAGTGTCATAAATACCAATTTAATGTGATTCTGAGAGAAATGTTTAGATTTTTCTTAAAATGTTGCGTCTCCAATTAGTTTGCAACAATTCTCCGTCAGTTAGAGAAGAGCTGGTGACTAAAAACTGATAAATACTACATAAAAATACACACATATTACATTGGAGTCCAGTGTTTCCCCTAGATAACTTAACTGGAGTCTGACTGAACAGTGTTTGTGACCAGCGAGGCCAAATTCTTACCCGTGCATGTTATTTTGCTGTCCACCTCAGCTCGCTTTAGTCCCAACTCACCAGCCGCCTCCACATTTATGATTTAATCTTCTGAAGTACATTTTAGAAATGAAGACAGGCAGGTTTGAACCAGAACTCATCGTCAGCGGGGGTTTTAGACCTGGACTCAGATGCCTTGCCTCAGATGTTTTCCGGTAGAGGAAAGCTCTCGTGCAGGAGTGAAAACGCAGCTGACAAACTCTGGGTCTATTCTGAGAGAAAATTAAGACTACAGGTGATTTCAGACTACGTCATACTGTTCACCAACTAGTCACAGCCCAGTTAGTCACATTTAGGCAACCTATGAAACCCAAATGTGACTGATCAGGGAATAATAAAAGGAATAATTTGCAATAAAATTGAGACATGATGGAAACATAATTAGGACACTATGAAACTAAATAGAGACTAATAACTTTGCTGATCATGGTTGCAATGTATTGCATGTTGTGTAAAACACAAAAGTGTTGGAAGAATCACTTCTTTGACTCTTTTCTTGCAGCTTGGTGTCTCCAACTAGTCACAGCCCAGAAAGATTCAGGCTTCAGCTGCAGCAACTAAAACAGGTGAAAAGTTTTTGTCCTCCTGTTAACTCTGAACGCTCATTATTGTAAAGAGTGTGCGTTTATGTTTCTCTTCCTGAGACCCACTAATGGAAACACTCTTTAAAATATAAACTTAAAAATTGCAAACTGCCTCATTACTTCAGCATGAAATCAGGACATTTATCGACGGAGTCTTTCAGAGCACGACTTCATGAATTCTCTCGCGTTTTTAATCTGGCCCACCCAGAAGGACGATGAGTTTGACTGAAAACAGAAAAGAAACGAGGAGACGTTACCATCGGAGAGCAATCTTGATGGGCGTGGTGAGGCAGGAGGTGAAGAGGTCGGCGGGGAGGTCGGGGTTCATGGGCAGCAGCTCGTTGGCCTCACAGGCAGCCAGCTGGATGCAGTTCTTCATGGAAGGGGGGAGCGGCATCTGAGCAAGGGGGTGGCTGGGATTGATGGCAGCAACCTGAAGAAACAACGGGACATCATCTCGTTTTTATATGTTGCATTAATCCACGCAGAACGTCTCAGCCAAACAGGAAGTTTGGCTTCAATCTCTAAAACCTCTTATTTAAACACAGCGTGATTTAATCAATATTCAAGCTATCCCGATGCTGCTCAATAATCCAGGTAGATCATCTAACAAGGTTGAGTCAGGTCCTCTGGACGGATTCTTCTTGTTGAAATGTTTTGTATTTTATCCAACAGACTTCTTCAGTTTGAGGAGCTGCAACAATCGCAGTCTTACAAGCTACACCTTCTCATAATGCAGGGGTTCCCAACCCTGGTCCTTGAGGGACACCATCCTGCATGTTTTAGTTGTTTCTCTGCTCCGACACAGCTGATTTTAATGAAAGGGTGATTTACAGGCTTCTGTAGAACATGAGGAATGAAATGACTGAATCAGGTGTGTTGGAGCAGGGAAACAACTAAAACATGCAGGATGGTGTTCCTCAGGGACCAGTGTTGGGAACCTCTGTCATAGTGGATCAATCAGTTACCTGGTGACGTCCAAAACTAACTGTTCACATGATCAAGGAGGACCATCAGCCTAACAACAGAGGGCTGATTGATTCTAGCAATAATATGAATGCTTCTGTTCAGTGCCCTGAGTTGACTTCTGTTGTGACTTGGCGCTATATAAACAAACTGAACTGAATTGAATTCAATAACAGCATAGTAAGAGGGGGAGAGTTGCACATGGAGGCCTCGGCCCGTTTAATGGTGGACAGCTTCTCTTCACAAAGATGGCTTCCTTCACTCCTCCCTCAAACCATCGTTCCTCTCTATCAAGGATGTGAACATCTTCCCTGAAAGAGTGACTGCTGGCCTGGAGTGCAGACCTCAGAGTCCTGGCCTGATGATGTTGCTCTTCTGTGCTGGGCCCATCTTTTGGCCAGTGGCTGTTTAGTTTCCCAGATGTAGAACTGATCACAGCCCCCAATATATTCAAGGTATTTTATTTTGATTTATGCTTCATGACAAAACACTTTTACCCCCAGCATAGAAGATGAGTAAGAGTACCGCACACGTCACATGCTACGCTTGTCGAAAAACTATTATACAGCAATAACAGCTCTATAGCGATGACCTGGACAAGCAAAGACCTTGTATGAACTTTGATTTGTGACCTTGACATTAGAGCTGGAGTGATGAAAATCATTTGTAACACTCTGGCTGTGATGTATACGTATACAATGTTTGGTTAAATTATCTTGACCTAAACAGAATTCAGACAAGAGAAAGTTTACAGACGTACAGAGATTATATCATAATCATAAATCTGCCTTTAGTCAGGTGTAAAAGAAAATTAAGATAATTAAATCTATAATAAAGGTCTACCATTCCTTGAAGAAATGCATATCACCCGCCACCTTTCATTTAGCCTGAGATTACGCTGAGAAGAGACAAGAGTTATAGCTGTTTTGTCAAACTTTGTAAGATCTGTTAGCACTCCGAGCATGTGCTGTAAATGAATCTCAGTTACTACCATGCCAAGGTTTAGCTCACTAAATGTTAAACCTACTAAATTATAGCCATTTTAAAACTGACTGACAGTGATCTGCTGTGGCCGCCATCTTGAACTGGGTTGAGTCCAAAAGTTCATCACTTGCAGATTAACTTCCTGTAAGTTTGATTAAAATGCATCAAGTGCTTCATGAAACATGTCTCTAACAGACAAACACAGACACGATCACTTCTTGCCTTTAATGGTAAAATTAACCAAGAATATAAATAACTATATGATGAATTTAATAATAATATTTCAATAATTTGATAAAAATGACAGGTGAGAACTTATAGGTGTGAAAGGTTTTTGTCATTTTGACTTTAATTAAAAGCAACAAAGAAACTTGAGTCTAATCCGACAAACTCACGAGAAACTGTAAAACAACAAAAGCAGAAAAGTTAGAATGTAAAAAGCAGATAAACAGAAGAATAAAATGATTATGATCGGTGGCGTTTGGAGGCTCAAAACAAACGATCCAAAGTCCAAACGTTGTGGACAAATGTGCAGCAGGTGACGGCTTTAGCACCCACGTACCCACCTACACAAACCTGCTCTGTTGTACTCACTGCAAGTCGTTGGAGCTTTGGCTTCATCTTACCACGAAAAGTAAAAAATAAGGGTTTGAAAAACGTAATTTGAACACTTTTTTTTTGTTGTTGAAGATATAAATTTATCTTTTACTGTAGGAATGACTTTGAACTGAGGAAAGCTTCATGTGTTTAAACGTTGCTGCAACATAAAGGTTCCAAAGCCTGAAATAAACGTCTCAAGCGGTTTACCGATGTCCCCCCCCCATCACTGAGGATGAATACTGAGTGTTTATAGTTTTTGAGATGAGTGTTTTTCTGGACTGAAAGTGAACATACAAGTAAACATTAATGTTTTTGGTGCAAGATATTCCAAGTGAGCAGGAGTTACACTGTGGAGAACATTATCCACCCCAGGCTCAATATGGCGGAGCCAAGAGGTGGCCAATGGTGGCCTTGGCCCTCATAGATTAATCTTCAGCCACCCCAATCATTTGAGGAAACTATACTTTGAAGCAATACAAAGACTAACAAGCATAGTTTTCTAAAATTAATGGGGTGATTGGTATACAAATATAAATACCTGTAGTGTAAATATATATATGTAACCACATAGCAAAATGGAAGTTGACACATTCCTTTGTCTCCAAGATACGCAGCTCACAACACGGATGGCCATATATGGTGGCAGCCATCTTGGATTTTTAAGTGGCAACCCAATTTTTCGCACAGGTCTTTTTTATGCCTAGATGCAGCTACATAGAAAAAAGGAAGTCAGTACCTCACTTATTTTTCAAGATGGACTAAAGGCATTTCCAATTCCACATCTTTGCTCCAAGATGGGGGACAATAAGAAAATTATCACATTTTTCTTCAGTAATCTCCACCTCACACTGTGCGCGTGAGAATAAACTCTGTAAAAATTAATATTCTACCTAAATTTGAGTCAATTAGAGACTGAGCAGAGAAAATAAACAAAGCAAATGATCCACAGGCTGAAAGGAAGCCACCATCCCTTGACTTATTGTCTTGTGCAACTAAAAAAGGGAATTTATATAAATTTTATATAAAAAGCAACAAACATCAAAGTTTACAAAAAAAATCTAGGCAGCAATACTCATTTAATTCAAAACATGCACCTGTGTAAACATGTTACACCAGTATCCAAATGAATGAATTAAAGCAGAAAAATCCATGCAACCCCCCCCCCCCCCCACAAACACACACACACACCAATATGACACATTTGAGAGCTTTTTATGTAAAAAGGACTATACTGAGTTCATGACCATAGTAAAAGTACACAGTATACTGTGTACATGACCTTAGTAAAAGTACACAGTATACTGTGTACTTGACCTTAGTAAAAGTACACTGTATAGTGTGTACATGATCTTAGTAAAAGTACACAATATACTGTGTACATGACCTTGGTAAAAGTACACAGTATACTATGTACATGACCTTGGTATAAGTACACAGTATAGTGTGTACATGACCTTGGTATAAGTACACAGTATAGTGTGTACATGACCTTAGTAAAAGTACACAGTACCGTGTTTACATGACCTTCGTAAAAGTGCACAGTGTACTGTGTACATGACCTTACTAAAAGTACACAGTATACTAAGTAGATGATCTTAGTAAAAGAACACAGGATATTGTATACATGACCTTAGTAAAAGTACACAGTATAGTGTGTACATGACCTTAGTAAAAGTACACAATATACTGTGTACATGACCTTAGTAAAAATACACAGTATACTAAGAACATGACCTTAGTAAAAGTACACAGTAGTACACAGTATACTGAGTATATTACCTTAGTAAAAGTACACAGTACGCTGTGTACATGGCCTTGGTATAAGTGCATAATATAGTGTGTACATGACCTTAGTATAAGTACACAGTATAGTGTGTACATGACCTCAGTAAAAGTACACAGTATACTGTGTACATGACCTTAATAAAAGTACAAAGTACAGTGTGTTCCAGACCTCAGTAAAAGTACACAGTACAGTGTGTACATGACCTTAGTAAAAGTACACAGTACAGTGTGTACATGACCTTAGTAAAAGTACACAGTACAGTGTGTACATGACCTTAGTAAAAGTGCACAGTATATTGTGTACATGACCTTAGTAAAAGTACAAAGTATAGTGTGTACATGACCTTAGTAAAAGTACACAGTATATTGTGTACATGACCTTAGTAAAAGTACACAGTGTACTAAGTACATGACCTTAGGAAAAGTACGCAGTATACTATGTACAAGACCTTAGTTTAAGCACACAGTATACTGAGTATATGACCTTAGTAAAAGTACACAGTATGCTGAGTACATAACCTTAGTAAAATACACAGTATAACCATTTGAACCATTCATCTTTTTACCTCCATGCATTTTGCAAGTAAACTACTACTAGTATGTAATGAAGGTCTGTTGCCCCTGGGGCTTGGGGAAAAGGCGGGGTGGGGGTGGGGGGGGGGGTGTCTTCCAACCTAAAACCTGTTTTCTATTCATTTTGAGGTAGAGGCTTAGATTTATTAGGTATTCATAAAAAAATATTGTATTATGTCAGGATCACGGTGCATCAAAAATATGTGGTCATAATGGGACCAAACTGGGCCCGAGGGTAAAGAGTGTATGCTTTGTGCAGATCTCCTATTCTATACACCTTGCAATAGAAGGGGGTCATGAATTAAAAAATAAATAAATGAAACAAATCCTGCCCAAGTTTCATGAAATGAGTCTTAAACTGACTGATATGTGGAGAATCAAAAGCAGCAAATAAGCAGAACGTTCACGTTTGGTCCCTTAAGGTGCTTTGAGGGTTAACAGTCTCTGTACAAGCAGTGGAAGAAAGTGGAGTGAGGCTCAGAAGTCATTACATTATGTATTTAAAGCTCTATGCACACACATGAA